AATTAAGTCCCGTTGACTTTACTAGACTTATAACTTCTTGGTTGCTTGGCTATCATAAAATGTACTTGAATTTGAAGGCTGTTTGAGGAGTTATCACCAAGTCCTTTAAAAGTATTACAAAGTCAGAAGAAGGGTGTAAAAACCCTTTAGTAGCTCAAATAGTTCACAGTCGACACTAACTCGTGCTTACAAAAGCCAACACTTCTGGCTTAACTCAAAACGTAAGGACTAACTTAAAAGTAACGAAGTTAAGTATAGCCTAACGGTAGGCTAATTTTCGCTCAAGCAGTCTCTGACTCGAAATTCGGCGTAACAAGCCTATTTTCGAATCAGAATAGCTAAAAAATTCTAATCGCTAGAGAATCAAAGATATCAACGTGGCCGTCATGCAGGCAGAACACGCTCTAAATTCGCCTTCCAAATCCTTCTCTTAAATTTCTTTCCACCACATTTGAATACACGCGAACTAGTCAACTTGCATTCATGTAAGAAAGTGTGAGTTGAAAGCAAGAGCGTTAGGAAAGCTGCTTAAATATGAAATAACTGCTAGGTAAATTTAAAAAAAATTCCCTCGAGGTTAGCAAGTTATCACTATGTCTTACAAAATCACGAACTACTGGAGAAGATTCTAAAACAACCTTTTTATTTAAGCTAACATAAAAGGCATGATTTGTGTTACTATTCCGCTCAAAAATCATTAATCGTGGTTAAATTAAATTAAGCAACAATAGACAATTCATTTTAATGCTGGTAAGGTAGTCGAAGACTACACATTCAATAGCATAAGCTATAAGCTAGCTCAATTACTTCTACCGGTTCGTAAGTTTAAAATGTAGGCTCTGAGAAGAAAGCCCGATTAATCACTTTTAGATAGAGCTGGCGAAATTCTAACAGCGGGGCCCAAGAGCCAGGAACTCCCTAAGACTGAAAACCCTCAGTTCATATATAATGTATTTCTCCCGCCTTCCTAGCGTGCCTTCGTGGTGTAGTGGTTCTGCACGCTGGGTCGGTATTCCAGAGGTTCGTGTTTCAATTCCCGGCGAAGGCGATTGCTCATTTTTCATCTTGTCTGCTTTAACCCCTCAAAAAACACCTAATGTCTCTACAGTGGCGCCTGAACTAAAAGGGTGATGGATGAGGATTCTCCACACCCAGGATTTGGCTATTGGGTCCCATAAAAGCCCCAGTCGCCCTTTAAAAAGGGGTGTATATAAGGTATTTCTCTCGAGTTCCTAGCGTGCCTTCGTGGTGTAGAGGTTCTGCACGCTGGACCGGTATTCCAGAGGGCCGTGGTTCGATTCCCGGCGAAGGCGTTGCTAAGTTTTCATCTTGCCTGCTTCCAAAAAAAATACCTAATGTCTCTACATATATATTATAAAAACTAATTTGCATTCTGATGAGAGTAATGAAAATAAGTTATAGTAAAGATCAAAACCATAATAACTGGTTAATAACCATAAGAACCTTATACCTTACGTTCTCTCTCTAACTAACATGTGACTGGCATTGGTCAAATACAATGTTGCCAAGTAGTGTAATTTTATGTAAATTTGCTAATTCTAACTATTAAATTTGCTACTAAAATTATGTCTATGCGATTTTGTGAATTTTTTGCTACACTATCATTTCCTCGTGCTATTTTTTTCTACTTAAAATTTTCACCTTCCACCAACCTATATACGTAAATATGGGAGGTAGCCTTTTTTCATCCCAAAAATTCGATAGTGAGTTTTTATTGAATAAGCACGAATCAGAATCATATTTTTACTATTTTTACAATATGGACTGTGTGGTATGTGACTTTTTCGTTTACGATAACTCATATCAAACTTCTAAAAATTTTTAAATTTTTATTTTCAGTATTTATGCTTTTTGCATTCGTATAAAAAGTTGCTTAGGTTTGGGTAAAACCGGATAACCGGAAGTGGTACTTTACTTGAAGCCTATAACAGTTTCGCAATAATCAACATAACCTATTGGCATTTATAAACATAATATATTGTTGCAATTTGAACGAGCTTTCTTTGTTGATACTTAAATATTGATATATAGATCAAAATTTAGATTGGTTGATATATTATCAAAATAACATAGAAGGAAATTTAATTTTCGTATTCGTTTCCAAAGTATTTATTTTAAATATCTTATAAACACTTAATTTTTTTAAGTAAAATTCAATTAAATTATACTTTATTTAAGTGCCATATAAAATACAATTTTAATAAAAACATAAAAAGACAAATATTTAATTATGTTGATATAAATTTAGAAAACCAGTTTTTAATTTGGTCAATAATATCTAATTAAATATTACCTGAAATTTTGCATTACAGACCTTTCTATTTATAATGGAACAGGAAGTTAGATTTTATTTGCAAATAATCAACCGAAACAGATACTTTACTTCGTTGCACGGAATTGGCGGGAGGTTATGGGCTGGCCACATCGGATATTTTTTCAATATATCATAAATTTCGCGTATGTTAATTAATGAAATGAATTAAAAGTAGTAATTTGTTTAGACTTAAAGGAAAATTAGCATCAGGCAATCTTGCGATCATAGCTCATGAATGCATGCCCCTCAATACCAGCACTGGCAATTTAATGTTTTTCATTGATTACTTTTTTTAATATATTTTGGTGATCTATCTATCAGAAAAATTCCAGATAAGCATATTCAGCAAGTCAGATTATTTTGTATTAACTAAAATGTGCATTATGAGTAACATGGAAAAGTTCAGCGCGAAAATAACTTGAAACAATACTTGGCGTAACGCTAAGATGTGAATTTCTGTTTGTATTTGATATTACTATCTCATTGTATCTCATGTATTGTAATTCCAAAACTTACATATTCTACCATACAAGAATTCCGTATAAAGTTCTATTGATTACGTTTACTTATTTATTGAGTATATTTCTATATGTATTATATATTTTTCTTTTTTATTTATATCTTTCTCTATTTTATACGTATATATATTTCTCGTTTTCATGCGTATATATATTTCTCTTTTTCAAAATAAAATACACTAAAAAGATAATGATATATATAATTTAAAAAATTAATACCAGAACAATTGTGAAATTTGTACTCGAGCTGCCTCACTTTTGTGTAAAGGGCTATTTTAAAATTTATTCTTTGAACTCACTGACCCTAGAATGTATTATTGATAGATGGGCTAATTTCGTAAAAATAGTAGTAATGCAAAGCAAAATTGTGCAAAACAAATGTAAAATATAATTTACACATGTTAATATTAATATTAGCCACTTTATTGCTCTACACGTTTTGTTTTAAAATCAGCTTTTCAATAGCTCTAAACTGTGGAAACGTGTCAGTTTGTGGCTCTCGAGCAATATATTTGAAATTCATTCTGCTCGTTGTATTATTGTACTAAACTATTGAAATGAATAAAAAATCAAAGCAATACTAGTTTTTAAATAATAACATAAGTAAATTTATTTGGCAAAGAAGGTAGCTTTTTCTTATGATGAACTGATATAAGTTCAACCATCAAAAACGGAATATTAACTGAAAGGCATTAACAATTAAATTAAAACAATGAATAAAAAAAAAGCAGACAACTCAAAAGAATTAGTACAGCAATATTAACAATAAAAGCCTAGAAAAGCACTCAATAACGGATGTTAGTAAATTACCCAGAACGTAATAACCTAAATTAATTGAGTATTAATTAAAAGAAGACAGGGAGAATTAAAAACGGAAAATTAGCAATCAGGCTTAAGATTTTCATCAAAACTAATATATTTAATATCTAATATATTTAATATGAAAACGAAGAATCGAATTAAAATCCGTAACCTACGGAACCTTCGGAGACAGACTTTGTGATGACATTAGATGTCATGTGAAATTACGAACCTGTATCGTCATAAAAATCACATGATTTCTGATGTCACGTGCTACTTTTTGCAACTTTTTTATTCTTCTCTTCTTTTTTATACTACACTGTTCAAATAAACCAAATCGATTAGCTCTAAAACGTTGACGAACTATCATTCATAGTTTTTTTTTTTTTTTTTTTTAATTATCTAGAGGCGAGATACGGAGAACAAAGAATTTGGGAAGCAAAAATATCGTAAATGATCCAATGCTCCTTTGCCTCGAGTCGATCACGGGAATTCTGAATTCCTTTTAAAGAACATAGAAAAAGTTGGAATTTTATATTGACAGAATTTTTTTGCTCACAGAGATAAAACTGATATCGTAAGCACTCATCTGTTTTATAAGTATGAATCTTTTTTTTTTTCGGAGAGGCGGATAAATAACAGTATAATCTGCTGTGTAATAACAGTATAAACTGAATCTACATTTTCCTCTAATTTCCAGTTTTGTTCTTAATTTCCAGTTTCGAAATGTTTTATTCTAGAAACACTGCTAAGTTTTTTTATACTTTGTTGCATAAATAGCTCCGTAAAAAAAAATGCCTGAAAAAAGGATTCAAAACGAAAATAGGCGCTTTGACCTCTACATTAGGCGTATAATCAAATTATCAATAATTTACAATGAGAAGCAACAGAATGCATGATTTTTCATGAAAGTAACCCACAAGATTACATTTTCTCGATATTTTTCTTTAAATTAATTTTTCTTTATTTTTGCTTCAAGCTTGGGAAGCGGCTTAAAGGTAGTAAATCACTTTCCAAATTTGATTTTTTGTTATTACCGTGCTCAACATCTTATATTTTTATCCTTTATCCAGCTAAACTATCTACAGCGATTCGATTTTAACCTTTGTATATCTTTGCTAGTGAATGCATAATAAAGACTGAATTAAACGCAAGTACTTTTTTATTATTATTTCTGTTCTGACACCTTAGAACTGGCCTCTCAGCCATTTCCTTTCGTTCTTAAAAAATACAAATATCTGATTACCCCGTAAAAGGAGTCAGATTTATATATGTAATTTAAAACCCAGCTGACGTCAATTATGATAATCAGAATTCTTTTCAGTGCAGCAAATAAAAACCGCACAGGTTTTTCTAAATCTCAAAATCATCTCCAAGTTTGCGTCGCTGTTTACAATTCAACATTTTCGTCGCTTGTTTTTCAAGTGCTTGAAGTTCTGAATTAAAAGATGACTAAAGAGGACTATAAAAAACGGTTGGTTGTATTCTTCAGCGAAAAACTGGGTAAGTATTGAATAATTTCCATGTTCAACTTGTGTATTTTGTCCAAACTACTTAGAAATGTGTAAATGCTATTTTTAACCCTAAATTTTAGACCGTCTGTTCCAATACCTTGTTTTGAAAATGTATGCAAGATAAGGCGCACTTCCTTATGATTGATGTCAAACCAAGAGATCTGAATTGCGGAGAGTTATTCTGTTAAGCTTTCAGTGCTCGAACTTTTATTTCCATTAAAATGGTATATCACTGCATTAAAAATATTTGCATAATACAATATTTAGAAAATCAAGAATATTTATAACTTTTGCTAATTTTCTGACTATTTTGGCTTCTGAATATTTCACAGCTATTCGGATGTGCGATATTTAGTAAAACTTAAATCTGTATTATAGTTGATGTAATATATTGATAACTGAAATAAAGTGCTCTGGTTGGAGTTAAGCTGTCATCTAAAGTGAAAATTGAAAAGACTATATCTGAAAGCTTTTACTTTTTGATAGTAAAAAGAAATTGTTGCTTTTAGTGTTTATAACCTTTTACACCTCACATTGAATGCAAGAAATATTGTGTTCTTTCTGTTTATTAAGTCATAGAAGAATGATTTTTAATTTATTGCTTTTGTTCTGTACCGGTTGCTAATTTTTTTTTTATTAGTAGGCTTTGTTATAAGTTTTGAAAGGCTTAATTTGAAGTTTTACATCCATACTAAAATCCTTAACAGGAATCTAGTATACCCCTATTGTAGAAAGCCAGAACTCTGTCTCCAGACTAAATGCAAATGAAAATGATAAGACTAATGTTTAAATATATGTATAACATCTAAGCTTAATTTACATAAAGCAAAATTTATACTGTAAGGACACATGGTATGAGAATGTTTAATTTTTTTCAAGTTATCAGTTTGCATCGATAAGCTTGCTATATGAATTAGAATTATTAATGACATTTACAACTACTATTTTTAAAATTCAATGATCTAAAATTCTACTTGTAAAAGTACACTTTATATCTAAATTTCTAATTCATTGAATAATAAGACCTATTAAGCATAATTTTATTTTCAAGCGTTAGAGAAAATCGCATAGCTCTTAAGCAATAATTTGTAATGAAAATATTAGATGGTGCATTTAAGGTCTTAGTCGTTCATCGTGATTATTAAAACTCAATTCCGAGGCGTCGAGATCAAATTTTTTGAAATATTTAATGTGCAATAAGAATATTTTCAATAGAACATATTAATAACCTGCTATTAATACTTTCGTTAGTTGTAAATTTTATCCAATACATTTAATTAAGGAAATTCTTAAGCTAGTTTTTATAAATTCGCACTCTCATACTTATTGCCTTAAATTTCAAAAGTGATTTAAAAGTAAAGGGAACAATTTAAATGTCACTAAAAAATGAGTTATTGAACAATTTTTTACTAAGCATCATTTATGGTTTAGAATTATTGAACAGTTTGGAATATATATCCTTTTTTGTTTCGGTTTGTTTCTACTCATTTATCATACAAGTTGGATGCTTATGCATCCTAATTTAAAGAATTTCGTTAGCTGAGCTCAAATTAAAAATCTTTGCTTTGTTCTTTGCATATAAGAAAAACACCTGGTGCCGAATGATCACATAATTTTTTAATTGTTTAATACTTGCATACATAGAATGATTAATCACCATGATCGCATCGTATTTGTTATTGTTAGCATAAATAATAAGAAACATTAATTAAGTTATGTCTAATATTTCGTCTTCTAAATTATCTATCTTATGAAAAATATCTTTAATGCATACAAATCAAATTATCAGTGTATAAGTTACAGTATTTTGCAGGAGATATTTAAATCAGACTTTCACCAAATTACTGATAATTTCTACAAATGATATATACGATTTTCTAAATGATCTGACCTTTCTAAATACCACGGTTTACTCAGTGAATAACAGATCAATATACTTTTACTTCGAAACGTGCTCCAGGGATAAATAAATAAAAAAACATTCGTGTCATTGCAGTTATAGACAGTATCAGTTTTCAGTGTAATTTTGTTTTCCTTGCAAATAAACCTCCATAGCACAGGACAGAAATAAACATATACGGGGAATTTATCATATGGATGGTAAAGGGATTGTCTTGCAATGCGTAGCTAGGGTGGGGTAAGGGGGAACAACATCTGTCTCCGGGCGCAGCATACAAGGGGCGCCAAATTGATGCTTCGAAATTTTTTAATGAAATTTTTACCATTCTTGGCACACAGAAAGGGGCGCAAATTCTTCAGTTGTCCCCGGGCGCTGGAAACTAGCTACGCCCCTGACGGGGTGTAAGCCCTACTTTTCCAAAAATAATTTATATGTATTTGTTATTTTCGATGGGAACATGTACTAAGACAAGGAATTTTCCGCTACAGTTATTGTTCACACATATTTTGGTCTTGTTCTGAAAAGTAAAGTACCTGCTAAGTTTATTGAACTAATGATGTAGTTTTGGAGTATTTATCTGAGTTTTGCAGTGTTGTTACCTTCTGAACTCGAGCTCGTTCGTAATTGTGCTAACACTGTGATATGCTTGAGTTAATGAACATGATAAGGAGTGCTCTGGTGTACCCTCTGCTACAAACAGAGTTCTTTAAAGAATAAACCTCTATAAGGAACGTTACTGGCTAAACCCCGTTAGCGTTCCAACCGGACATCATATAGGATCATATGACTGTCGCGTATGACCATGTGACTGGCTCACTCTTCTCTAGCGAGAAACAGTTTTATCAAAAACTGTCCCAATATTCTGCAGGCTCACTAGAGACCGAGAGTCACTGAGCACTGTCCGGGTTCCGAAATTCGGCTGATTGGGCTGGCTGCATGGGCGTTTTCATGGTTTTCCTAATGCGTAGCGTACATAAGATTCCGTTTCCCTTAAAATGGCCTCTACGAAGGCATTGATTAACTTAGACAGATACCCTGGATTGCTTTTCCATAACTAAATAAATAAAACAAACCAATATTTTCCCTGTAGCTATTAATTAATTACTAGAAAGCCAGGTGGATACTGGGGAATTACTGTTGGAGAGTAAGAAAATTACTAAAACTCAACCACAGAAAGATGGAGGAGGCTGTGGTATCAATCACAGGGCACATGATGCTATACGGTCTAAAAATTAGTCAACAGATTTCAACTGTGAGAGTTACATAAGATACGCATGTAGTTGTTTCCTGATGAGAAAAATAACGTACACCAGAAAATGTTGGAATAATTGAATGTAATGGCATGATGTTTATTCCTGAAGCGCTTTGTGCTAAAAATATTCTGATATTTTATCTCGGGAATAATTTATGAGCACTCTATGTATTAATTTATATTTATAAAACCTTATCCATATTTTACCCAAGTATACTATGCCTCACTCTTAACAGAAATACGAAGTTGATAATTTATAAAATTGTATTTGCTCTTTTGTCATTTGAGTTGAACAGGTAAGAACATATTACTTATTTACAAAAAATCATCTGCAGTTGTGTCATTTGAGTTGAGCAGGTAAGGATATATTGTTCATTTGCAAAATCTCATACCGCAGTATGAAGTTATTTACAAAATCTTATCTATTGTGATGTCGTTAGAGTTAAACAGGTAAGAGTGTGTTCTTTCCTAAGATGAAATTTCTTTCTGCTGTTTATATATATGTACAGTTTAGAGATTTAATCTTTTTTAATGTTAATTTTTATAACTGAATGAATTAATAGCAACAATAAATATCGTCTTTAGTATTTCAGGCCCCAACTCAACTTATTATTTATTTAATCTTTACTATCGAATATTTGCTGGAGATAAAAGTTTACAAAAATTTTGAATCAGCTCCACAACGGAACTTCAAGGAACCTTTCTTGGCGATATATAAACAAAGTCACAGGCATTCCGCTTCAAAGAGTCCGCAAACGAACTCAAATAAAGTACACTGCGCCATAAATATTCCTTCAGAGTCATATAACTTTAAAGCGACTCGCACAAATATAAATTCTGAGCTCTAATTATTGCTTAAAATAGCAAACACGCACGGGAAAAAATAATATTCCACAGTACACTAGTTAAATATGACGTCGAGTAATCAGAGTCACATTTTTTTCAAGAATAAGTGAGTGTAAGCACAGTGTGGACACCTGATCTGCATATCACACGGTAGTAGGTACAGGGCAAAGACCTCAACTCTCAACATCGTACCAGTTTTGATCAACAGCGTGTAAAACTTGATTTTATTCTAACCAATTACTTTTAATTTTAGAAACTTTCCTTTTCCTTTTGATTTCAGTTTCCTGCCAGAAAATGTAAATTTTAATGATCAGTATTTAAATAGCGGTTTTAAGAGTTCGAGTAGGAGAGTTAGTTTCGAATTTATGCCGCTTGTTTGAAGTAATTTTGTTCGTGAATAGTTGGTGCTTAGCCATTCTCTTTAGATTATATTTATATTCTAGCTTCGGCTTTGTTGTACGCAGCCGATTTAGATAAATAAGGAGACGGTCGTTTAGCCAATCTTACTTTATTGCGATTTTATATCTTACTTTTCTGTTAAGTTACTTAGCCACAAGTGCTGGTAGATTGTGAACACCAAACGAGTGCGTTTTTTGATAAGTTCAAATAAAAAGGTTATTTAAACCTTCTTCTGCAGGCCGCTCAGACGATATAGTGGTTAGAGATGGCTATACCAAAGGGACCGGTTTCGAATCTCGGAGAACGCATGGTTGTAAGTGTCAGTCCCTTCATAAGTAATAAGTGACGGTGGACGTGGGCACTGTCCCTTTGCCGTAAAGATTAATCAGTACAGCACCACGTCCACCCTTATCTAAAGTTGGCTAGAGAGATTTTGACACATATTGAGCAATATAACAGTTCTTCATAGGAGGCAAAGGTGACCCACCTAGTAGGTGCCTCCATAATAAAGTGACAACCACTTCTGGCTTTACTAGTGGCTAAACAGAAGTCGGCTGAGGGCCGCTTGTGTACTTATGCTGGGATTACTCTCTACCAGTCCTAGCACAGTTTCCTCGTTGGCTGGCGTACGTGTCGGTCATCACGATTACGTAAGGCCTAATGGAAAAAACCGTTGTCACGTAATTGCTGCTGTAGGCGCGCAAACATTGTATGGAGTTCGCCTCAACGGATACCTCTGAGCGTACAAACCTCTGAGCTGCTCAACCATTACAGTCTGTGGACCCGTATACCAGGCACATATCTCCTTTCTCTGAGTTCATGTTGCCTGATGTCCTACAGCCTCACTGTCTTAGTGCGAAATGAAGCTTCATTTCAGAGTAACTCCTTCTTATCGTAGAGTCCCTCTGACGGCTAGTTAAACTATCCACCAAGAAATTTGCATATAGTCGCTTTAACACTCTCTCGAGAAATTCTGCGTCAAGAATCGTGCCTGCCTCATCCACTGGCACCACTCTTCTAACTAGACGCAACCGATTCGTCTAGGTGTGCCCTACCTCTCTTCGAAGTTTGTAAGATCTTAGCTGGCACACCCTGTATAATAATCCTTTTTATCGATATTATTAGATATTATTCATTATCATTTATGCCTTTCTTTTAACCTACATAGGCAACTCATCGATGCGTACACATTAGTTATTCATGCAATGACCTATGGCTCCCCGTATCTTCTATCTAAAGTATAGGAACTAAACTCAGAATAAGCATTTTATTTACTTGCGAGCCTGAGGATTACAGAAGCTACACAATAACATAAAAGATAAGTAGCTATTGGTGGAATAACATTGAAGGAATATTAAAATATGAAGTACAAAGCAAAAATTACCTAAGCTTTGTTCAGACCTCCTTCTTTCATGAAACAATCACGGCTAGCAAAGCTAAGCCGATTGAGTAATTTATTCGTAGGGAGGAGTAATAGATCGATCAATAACTATGCTGCCAAAGGATCTCTTTTTCTTTCGACCATATGAATTGTGTGCTCATATACCCTGAATTTTACCCTTAATTTGCACCCTGAAATAGAAGTGAATGTATGAACAAAATAATAAGCTAAATGATTAATTGAAATAAAGCCTCACATTTATCAGCATCTCTTAGCATATCGTTGTAAGTAAAGTTTTAAAAGCAGAACTTGAATCCATTTGATCCATGTACAATATCTTGATTTTGAAATTATAATATATTTTTAAAAGTGATAATAATTTAAACATTAGATATTTGAAGCTTCGAAACTTGCTTGGTAAGAAGCCTTCTACGTCATTATGCCTTTTATATAATACGAAATCTTTGCTTAAATAATCAGAAAATTAGAGTCAAAATTATAGTTTTATTTCATATTACTATAGGTTACTGTTAATGTTTCATTATTTTCAAATGTCGCAGTTAAAATACTCCTGAGAACTGTGAGAATTCTCAGAAAATTTGAAATCGTGTTAAGCAATCGGGAGAGGAATAACATGAAAAGTCCGCATTGCCGCTGACCACCTGAGAGTTTTTAGGGCAGTGTTTTTCAATTTTTTTTTCCTTCTCTCTTTTCTTTTTTTTAAATAAAGAAGCCACAATTTTTACATTTTTTTTTCCGTCCGTATTTGCTAGAACGTACTGGCAGCGTGTGTGCTCTTAAATAAGTCTTTATGCATACCTTTAGCTTTCAAATTATGTTTTCTATAGCTATAGATGCAGTCTAACAGGAAAACGATTATGCGAGATCGTTTCGAAACCACTTCTAGCACTAAATTGAAAAGGTCAGAATTCCCATCTCGAAAACGAAACAAGATAAAGAAAAATTTTCAAATACGAAACTTAAAATTCTAAACACAAAACATTTATGTTTTGTGTTTAGAATTGATAAAACGGGCTCTTTGCCCTGAGTAAATTGTAACAAATTAATTATAAATTTTGCTTTTGCAAATATATCATTTAATACTAAAATGTATTTTCATGCGAGAAAGTAATAATTTGTTTAATCAATTAATTTCTGCTTATCTAGTTTGGTTTGGTTTTATTAGATTACGGCAAAGCACTCGAGGGCTATCTGCCTTAAGGGAGGGAGGCCTTCGTGGAGGACTTTCTAAGGTAAACTGGCTCGTGTACTCGCTACACATGGGGAAAACCACGAAATCGCCAATGCAGAGAGCCCGTTCGCGGGATTCGAACGTAGGACCGAACTACCAGTGTTCAGGGACGTTACCGCTCAGCCGCTGGTGGGCTTCAGTTTATCTAGAAGAGCCTTTTTACAGTAAACAAGAAATGCTGCCCAAAAATTATAGACAGTTGCAAATTATTTCTTTGATACAGTTCTTTCCCCTGGGATATACTAAGAGATTAAAAAAAATAATTGCAGCATTTACATATATTTTCTCCCTGCCTTCTACATTATCTGCCATTTATGTTTTTTTTTCCGCCACTAGAAGCATTACAACTGTTTTGATTTGAGAATATAATCTCTTTCGTACTGTAAACGCCCGACTACTGGCCAAGCGGTTAAGACCTCTGAATATTGTTAGATCGACCTGGTTTTGATTTAAAACTCGAACGGGCTAGTTGCCTGGTAGGTTTCCATGACTTTCCCCATGTGTAACATGAATACGAGCCATTTTCCCTCAGAAAGTCCCCCTCTTAGGCAGATAGCCCTCGTGATTTAGTCTAATTCAAATAACATAATCTAACCAGACTGATAAATACTCTACTTCTATACCTTTAGGGTATTTAAAGATTAAACTAAAAAAGATGCACAAAAATTTAAGTGGAAGCCCCAACGTATGAAGTGATCTTTTAGCGCATGCAGTTCTATAGTTCTTACATTTATGAAGGGTTTATTTATAGATATATTTGTCTCTTTTCAGATGCTGACAAGAATGGCTACATATCTTGGGATGATTACAGGCTCATGGCTCTGGTAATTAAAATTTTAATGCAATAGTAAATGCAAGTTAAATGCATATCTTGCATATCTTGAAGAAATCGTAAAATAGATCGTATAAAGTAATAATTTAGCATTAGACTACTAGTTTTACACAATGCATTAGAAAACTAATAACTGTAGTCTTAAAAAAAATCTTAGCTCAAATCATTTATTTATATTCGTCCTAGAAATCACTTAAAAAGAAATTTTTAAGTTACTACACCTTCTTCACTAAGACCTTTTCTCATGAAAATAAACTCTTCCAAAAGAAAGAGTATATTCCAGTAAATGTTGTTGTGAATGTTGTTTAAATTTCGTTTTTTTTTTTTTTTTTTTTAATAATTTCCTAACAAAACAGCTAACTAATCTTTGCTACGTAGTTTTTATATCATAAAATATGCAGTGAACCGCTCAGGTCACTTGAAAGAAATTTCAACATTTAAAAAATAAACAACTTTGCCTTTCAGAGAACAACATTTCAACAAAATAATGGAGAATACAATGAAGATATCCATCGAAAGTACTTGACTCACAGCAAGCAAATGTGGGAAAGTCTGTGCAACGATTTGGGTGGACAGAAGGTAAAGCCTTGTTAATTAACTTGCAGCAGAATAAAAATTCATATGCAGTTTATTTACTTAATATGAGTGGGTATGCTTTACTATGTATTTGCGGTTAATGCTGTAACTATTATGATAATAAATGTGCAAAGTATTATTTGGACAACCTACACTACTCGGTTGAAGCTAAAAAGTGTTTTGCCGTATTTTAAAAAAAAATATATAGAGAGAGAGATAGATAGACAGACAGATAGATAGATAGATAGATAGATAGATGTAATAAAACTGCACCATTGTGATAAGCTGATTTGGTGAAAGAAAGTTGCAACGGATTGACGACGGTTCTCTGCGTTATAACTTGAAGAGATTTTAATGTATTACTTGAAAACTGAGTAGTTAGAAATATGGCACTAGAAAGAGGACTTGGCCGTAAATTCCACACATAAAATCCATTTCTTGATAATGCACATCATCACTATGGGTGCGCTATGCACCCCCACATTTTTTTACATCTTACATCTTAAACAACTGGCGAATTTAGAAAAGTAAACTTTGTGTGGCTAGCGACAGAACGGAAAGCAGCAGAAGAGATGAGCGAAGAAAAGAAAAGGGTCTTAGACTCGATACTGTGACCGTGCTATTGCTAGGTGCAACGTTTGCCGGTTCAATGAAGTGACGCCCGAAGGCACATGACATATTGAGCACTGGACGTGGAGAGAATCTCTGGCACGTTAAAGAGAGGCAAGTTAAAGAAGAGGGAGTTGCGACGTAATTAAGCTTTTATACGAATTCCATTTTAGATCACATGACAGTTTAATGTACAAGTATTGAATTCAGACGTCACCGATAAGTATGCAATACATATTAAAAGACGCATCTTTTTCCTTTAGTTTAAGAAAATTTATTGCTCTGTTATTTTTAGAATGAAGAAAAGAGTTAAAGGGCTATTAATTTATTATTTAAAAGCTAGATTTTATATTTTACACACACACACACACATATGTATAACGTGATCAGAACTTAAATTCTAAGTAATGGTAAAACAGTCCTTATTACTTTAATTGGTATCTTTTTATAAATTTCTAATAACGGAGCACTCCTTATTACTTTAATCAATATTTTTTATAAATTTCTAATAGCAGAGCACTCTTTATTAATTTTTAGGAAAAAGCATCTGTCTGATAGTTTACTTAACATTAATAAGTAACGAAGATTTCAAATTAGGTAAAAAAACATTAAGAACTAGAAAATGAAATTTTCTCCGTTTCTTTTATAAGCTATTTTCTCCCTCCTTCCAGCATGCCTTCGTGGTGTAACGGTAGCACACTCGGCGTGTATTCGAGTCCCAGCAGGAGCATTGCTCCTTTTTCAAGTCTCCTGCTTTAAAAAAAAACCTAACGACTCTACACTTTCATAAATGTTTTTGGTTTTTACTTAAGACATAATTACTTTTAATTCTTTACGATGACTAGTGATTACTGTTAATACAGTGCTTTTCTAAATTTCGTCCACGCTATTATTTTATTTATAAAATAAAAGCGTCCACGTTATTAATCGTCCACGCTCACAAAAAATGAGAAAACATCAGTGGTTTCACTGGCGACTTGGGGGACCCATTAAGCTTCCGAAACTATTTGACACGCTCTAGAGTACATTTCAATTATATACTTGTTGTAAATACGGTGCTTATATCAGAGAAAAAAAACGCATCAAAATGCAGCAGAAAATTAGGCAAAGCAGCAACCTTTTGTTTAGCCTATATTTTAACCAAGGCTCTATCGATTTCAAGGGCAACAGGTGTGGTCCTTCATTATCAGAAGAAAAGAAATTCTGTGAAGAAAAGAGCTGTATTTATACCAAAAATTCTTTTCTGTTTATTTCCCTCCCCATGCTAAATATATCAACCGCCTAATCAAAAAACGGCTCTTTTTTAAATTATGTTTTTCGCACTCTTTGCTTCTCAGAATCTTTGCTTTCTAACAAACTCAATTATTTGAAATCAGTTTCCATTGACTGAGGATTTTCTCCCGTGGTTATCAGTAAAGTCTTTAAAAAATTTGTCATCAAAGAAGAAATTCCGCTGTTACAATTAACAGTAATAACCTTGCTGTTCTTCCATTCCATCCTTCTATCAGTTTCAAAATTTCACGGATCTTCCAGTTTAACTTTCAAGTTATTTTCTTATCTATCAATAGAATACATTGTTCGATTCTTAAAAGATTCTATTTCTGCTTTTCATTCTTGAGGAATCTGTGGCATATCTGTACAATGTTGTTTGAGATATATCGACCAAACTAGAAGAGCATTAAAATTTCGCCTCAAGAAATACGAATCTTACGTCCGAAAAAAAAAATCAACAATTATTCAATAGCTAATCATTGTTTGATATTTGAGATCACAGTTTTAACTTTAGGGCTGCAAAAATTACCCAGAAAGCTTATTCAGTCGGTGAATTGGATTTCTTTGAAGCTTTTCACATTCACGATGATTTATGTTGTTTAGTTAATGACATCAATTCTAATTCAGTTCTTCCTAACCCTTTTTAAAACGCTGTTAACCTAATTTTTCATGTTTCGTTACAATTTCTGTGGACATATGGTGCTATGGAACATATGCCATATACCTTTCTGTTCGTTTTACTGTTTGGTTTTTTGTATAAATACAGCTGCCTTCTTTGTAGAGTCCTAATCGTCACGGCTAGCTGAATGGTCAGTGTACTGGTTTGTAAAGGGGAAGAACGTAAGTTGGGGTCACATTCGTAACCTCTTCACTTCAGTTTTTTACCTTCAAGCAATAAGATCCATTTTACTACGGGAGCCCACCAACGGCCGAGCGGTAAAGACGCTGAACTCTGGTAGTTCGGTCCGAGGTTCGAATCCCGCGAACGGGCTGGCTGCATGGGCGTTTTCGTGGTTTTCCCCATGTGTAACGTGTATACGAGCCAGTTTCCCTTAGAAAGTCCTCCACGAAGGCATCCCCTCCCCTTAGGGAGATAGCCCTCGTGTGCTTTGCCATAATTGAATAACCCAATAACCCATTTTACTATGTGCTGTACCTCCTGGGACAGCCACAGCTGGGCTTCAACAGAATTCTTATACAAAGATTCCGGAATAAAGTAACCAGAATTATTAATATTACATGTACATTCTGGTTCTTCAGGAATTCTGTCCTTCATAGTGATATTAAAATTAAGCCAATAGATTCTGAAATCCTGAGATATTCACATAATCACATAAGCTGTGACAAACATGAAAATAACATTATCAGACAAATAGGAAGCTATGTCTATATTGTGGAGCAACCATACAAACCTCCGCGCACCATTCATCACAATTGTGAATAGTAGCATTGTAAACATTTTCATTTTTCTTATTTAAAACCTGGTAGAGGTGTAGACTTACGAAACCTTACAAAGCTTTATGGACTTCATTTTTCTCTGTTATAAATTTATTTAAAACTAGGTACAGCAGATATAGACTGTACTTACATGATCTCACAAAGCCTCTTGGACTTAGTTCTTGGGTTTGCGATAAAACGTTCACAGCCGAACTGTGATAGTCATAGCTCGATTGGAAACATGTGACATAGGTTTGATCAAAGAAAAACCAAAATTATCTAGCACTTGTATATATTTTATTTTGTAATCAGATATTTTAAACTATATTATTTGATCGAATATTCAAGTACGAAACCTAAAGAAATGCTTATTTTAATTCCTACTGTATGATAATTGCTTATGCTGGCATTATATGGAGAAACTTGGAAACTATATATTTTCACAAATTTACTTCTTTACGTAAGATACATACAGATAAAGTGTATAAGACCTTACATATAGTTGGATTAAATTTTTTTATGCATTAATAGCCTTAGGGGAAATGTGCTATGCCAGAGTAAAGGCCAGGCAGGCTGTATACTTCGATATGAATGATAATCTCCTATCTCCAATGAAAAATTTATTTTCTCCTGTTCATGAGGGACCTACGCCTGCAGCCCTCAGAATCCATAGAGTCTTAGTTAAAGTATGCGCCAAACAGAAGATTGCTGCTTTGCCTAATTCTGGGGTGCTTATAGTTTTAGTGGCACACAGATATAGACTAAGCTTATGTGCGAAACTATTATTGAAGGAAAAAGAGGTAGAATGAATGTGTGGTAATCTTCGATATTTTTATGTTTGTGTGGCAGATGATACGGTGACTGGAATAAGGTGGGAGAACTACCCACGTCGGTACTATCAGTAAATTTAGTTCTCCAGCCGAAATTTGTTAAATCTTCAGTATTCTGGTAGTCCTTCTCCTTTTTTTTTTTTCTTTCATATTCAACTGGTACTTCTAATATGCTTTCATTCAGTCACTACTTAGTCAGCTGGATGGACAGCTACGTAGTTCATGTTCCTATGTACACGAAGACAAATTAATACACAGCTTATAAAAATCTCTTTATTAGTGCTAAATATGTATATTTAAATATTTCTATATTTATTAGTGCTAAATCTCTTTATTAGTGCTCTATGTGTATTCTTTGGTAGCATATACTCTGAACTCTACGTTGAAGACTAAGTAGCGAATTTTCGCTATGTCTTTAAAAGAATGCAGAAGGAAGGTTTAAACAACTTTTTTATTTAAAACTAAATTAAAACAGACGCACGCACGTCGTGCTCACAAATCACCACCACTTGTGGCTACGTAACAGAAAATTAAAATGTAACAAATTACTAGTAAATTAAGAATTCTAATGACTGGCTCCTTAGCTTAACTTACGCTAAATCGGTTGCACACAGCCGAGCCGAGGAATATCATTATAAACTGGAAAGGTGTCGAACACAGAACTAGAGAGCTAGAGAGCTAATTTTAACTCTCAGCATAAACATCGGAACTAAGTCCGCTACTAGTCTTGAGTTCTTGAAACGCAGCTTAAATACTGCTTCTGAAACACTTTTCACAGTTTGAACCTACGTCATACATAATTTACATTTCGGCAGAAAACTGAAATCAGGAGGAACAGGAAAGTCAAACTAAAAATATAGATACAATAACACGCCGAACAAATATTAATTTAGAAGTCAAACAAGAAAAATCAGCGTTATACTATACAAAGCACTTTTGCAGCTGAGGATGATGGTTCGGTAAAACCATCGAAACTAGTCCTGCGAAAATTTGAAAATATAACGCTGATTTTTGTTGTTTGACTTAATTAAAAATAATTGGTTAGAATAAATTAAATCCTTACAGTGATTGTTGTTAAATCTACATTATATCAAACTGTGCATACATTTTGGATGTTTCTTTCATACGAAAATTTATCTTCGTGAGTTAAAGTTGTAAATAAAATTATAATTGGAATTTTATTTAAGAATGCAAATCAGAGCTTTAACAAAGGTTGAAAGAAAAAGGGACGAAGAATGACTTTTCAAGATAAATGAGAAAATTATGTACTTCTGTGGTACTCTGCACAATAAAATTTTGTCTTTTATTTGTAATAAAGGTATGTGAGTTCCAAAAGAATACTTTCACGTCACCATTACAAGATGATTCATAAAGAAACATTTGAAATATTCCATGGCAAACTGTGTTTTGAGTTGAAAAGTGTAACAGTAGAAATTTCTTACAGGTTATTTATGTATATTATGATAAATATTTATTAAGTAAAATTAACTTAAAATGACTTTATTTTCTTTAAAAAGTTTAGTTTTGTTAAAAAAATTTCTGCCTGTAAACTTCTTTCAAGGATATAGTGCATTCGTGCCACATGTAATTTAAGTTTAAGACCACCGTTTTAGTAGTTAAGCTTTAAGAAATCTTAACAATACTCAAATAAATGTTTCTTAAAAGTAGTACAGAGGAAATTACTCATGATTATTTATTTTAAAATGATTAACTTATTTCAGTCTTCTCTTTATTTTTAAATTTTACTAAAGAAATAGTATACACACGTATCTCTTATTTAAGAATGAGTTTTCAATGCGAATTAGAAAACTGCCAACTGAGGAGGGGAGGATAAACTAGTCCTTGTCTGGAAGAAAATGCAATTATTATCGAATGATGGAAAAGTTACTATCACAAATCATTAGCATAAAGAGATTGCCTACGGAAAAATACAAAAGGGAAAAGAAAATTACATAACAGCAATGATAGTGTATAATGTGGTAGTATTTGGGAGTTGTTTATATCCACAGCAATACGCAATTTAATCGCACGTGATCCAGAATGCATAAATATGGTTAAAACATCTTTAGATAATTTATTGCTCAACTGTAAAAGTAAATCAAGGGTACGATCATTAAGCTTCTGTGTAACATTAACGCCTATAGAAATACAAGAAAAACTACAGAAAACTGCAGATACACCGTGAAGTGAGGAAGAAACGCTTTTAACAGACAAGTACGTAAAGACGAAACTACATAACCAGAAGAATTTTTTCGCCAAATTAAACTGAATGAAAATGCAAGTAAATTGCTAACAATAGTTTTCCTGTGTTTTTTAAGCCTTCGTATTAAGCATGATTTTAAATTAGCCATAGATGACGTCCTTAATTTTATCCCCATAAATTCGGAGTTCACTGTATAACCGTATAATCACGGCTTTTACTAGTAAATACTCTTTGAAGTGTTCTTTCACGATCAAAAACTGAGCTCAATTTCAGTGTATTCTTGTGAATTCTGACGTTAGTGAATAACTGAATGGTGAAATAAAAATTTATTTCGGTTAATTCATTTTAATTTCAGTGAATTCTAATTTCTTTGAATTACTTCTAATTTTAGTGAATTTTTATAAGGTGAAATCTATGTGTTGTATATAATACAATTTAACCTTTTAACCTATTTTATGAACAGGACGGTAAAGTGCATTTTCAAGATCTGGTGAACTTTTTATACGAGTTGACGAGTCGAACGAGACACTTCGAAGAGTTGCCTGACTTTTTGCAGAATTTAGCAATTGAAGTGTTTCATATGGTGGATAAAAAATGTAATAATTTGCTTTATTTGTATTTTATTTCTTCTTAGCCATAGAAACTTGAGCTAAATATTTAAACCGCCATATGTAAAATTACAATGAGATTTCACTTTATATTCCTAAGCGTTTGTCTACTTTTTCTATCTAACCGTTAGCTCTTACCTATGCTTGTAACAAGACTGCACTTCGGATAATAATACTAAAACAAACACGCAAGTTTATAAGACGAAATTAACTTAAATTCATTCTAGACTTCAGCTTGGATTTTTCCAACTAGATATTTAAGAAAGTTAGTGAAACTTGTTATCAACGAGAAAATTTACAAATTTTAAATAAAGCTATTTACCGTAAGACATGAAACTTAAATAAACACCACTTGTTTCTGTAGCGAACGAGTGTAAACAAAAAAGACAGCTGACAAAGAGATTATTTCGTAGACAATATAAAAATGCTTTACACCTTCAAATTCCAGTCTTCATTAGCAGATCTCACAAATTTTCTGTGTAACCACATCTCAAGAACTACGTTCACTCATAGAATCTTTGTGCTCCAGCTGTAATACTCTTCTGGCACATTCCTTTAACTTATGTTTCTAAGCTAAGCTATTTATGTCAAGTAAATAATATGCAACTGTGTATGCATCAGCTTTCTCTACGAATTCCTTAATGTAGTTTGCCCTATTAGTAGCTGACCGGTAGAGGGCTTAAGACCGGTAAATACTGGGAGTTTGAGACCGGGTTCGATCCCAGGCAAACGGGATAGCTGTACGGTTGGTTTTCGTTTTTTTTTTTTTTTTTCCTATATAACGTGAAAAAAAAAACTAGTTTCATTTAGAAGGTCCTCCTCGAAGTTATTCTTTCCTTTAGTCTGATAGATCTGGTGTGATTTGATTTATTGAATAGACAGCCAATCTTAATGTAATTCTATTACTTTGAAGCAACTCTTCATTACATCTTTTCATTTATTTTGCTTCATAAAGGAAGTCTAAATTTATCTCGACTCTTAAATTCTGCATGCATATCACATTGGGTACTGAAAATTTAAAATTCGGCATCAGAAAGGTGCAATATGGGAAGAGGAAGACTGAACAAATGTTACGAAGCACATAGTTGATTATTATAGTAAGAGCAATTAAAGTCATGCCCGAAACATCAGGCCCACCAGCGGCCAAGCGGTGAAGTCGTTGAGCACTGGTAGTTCGGTCCTGGGTTTGAATCTTGGCCAACAGACTGGCTGCATGGGTGTTCTCGTGTTTTTCCCCATGTTTAAAGTGTGTACACGCCAGTTTCCCTTAGAACGCCCTCTTCGAAGACTAACTCTCCCTTTAGGCAGGTAGACCTCGAGTGCTTTGACATAATTAAATTAAATAAGCCAAACCCAAAATATTACTTTGTTTCATTTTAATCTTAATTTATTCACTTTTATTTATTTTTTTCACTTGAAATTCACATTTTTTCAGGTGACATGTTGTGGGACAGAGATGAATACCGCTTTGGATCTGTTATTTGGTGCTATGTTACAGAGCTGAAGGAAATAGATAGAGCCTTTGATTCAATGTTGAGTGTAAGTAATTGAAAATACAACATATTGTCGTTGTATGTAATGTAAATTCTCGTTGCATGCATAAAATACATTATGTGTAATGCAAAATATACACGGGAAAAGTATTAAAATATCTAAAAATTTAATGACTAAAAATGACATAAATATTGAAGAAATTCGCTGATTTTTAGTAGATATATTTTTAAAGCCAAATATTCACCATGCGATACGACGGCCATATAATACTAACTAAAATGTTATCTGTATAAATTTCCAATTTTCAGACTTCAGCTAGGTAAGTCTTATAAAATATCTACACAGAAAATTTCCCATGAAACAGACCTATTGACAATTTCCGTCTATTACATCTACTGTTATGACATCTACTGTCTATTACATCTATTGAAGTGACTTAAAAGTGGTGTTGTGAACCAAATAACAGATATGAGAAAGCTCGATTTAAAATTCAAAATCATTTTTATAAAGAGTAGATAAATCGTTTCTATAAACCGACAATTTTCAAAGAAATTGTTAAGTAGGTTTGGTTACAGCATTTTCGGGGCTTTAAGCAAACACGCTTGACGTTCCTTATCAATGAAACTTACTAATATTTCAAATCCAAATAGTTAATTAAAATGCAATACTTTTAATATTTGTTACCTATGTAAATGAAGTCTACGCGATTTTCTTAAAGTCAACACGCTGAGGGTGTCATCATTGCTTTTTACTCCTTAGAACTAACGTTTTCAGTTTACAGAAATGGCAAGAAAATTCAACTTTTCTTAACTTGAGCACGATCTCAAACAATTTTTTACGAATTTCAGTTAGGAAACACTTCTCTCAGTTTCAACAGTACTCATTCCTGAATGACTACTCCTTTCTAAAAAGCCCACCAGCGGCCGAGCGGTAAAGTCGCTGAACACTGGTAGTTCGGTCCGAGGTTCGAATCCCGCGAACGGGCTGGCTGCATGTTTGTTTTCGTGGTTTTCCTCATGTGTAACGTGTATGTGTAACGACCCAGTTTCCCTTAGAAAGTCCTCCACGAAAGGCATCCCTCCTCTTAAGCAGATAGCCCTAGTGTGCTTTGCCATAATTAAATACACCACACCATCTTCTGATCCGCTAAATACACCACCTTTCTAAAAAATACAACATCGCAGAGTTAATTCTATTTTTGGTATCTTACCTAAAAACTCACATCTGAATGAAAAAAAAATTAAATTATGTTGTTGTTTATTTCTATTAGTGAGATTCCGTTTATTCTATTAGTGAGATTCTGTAAGCTTCTCGTTCTGTGCCCATGTCTTTGGCATAAATATTACACTGATTTTGACTTCCTGTACCTTCATTTGTTGTTTGTGTTAAAACATGTTGCAAATTTTGCAATACATTGAACAGCTTCTATCCAGTTTTCAAAATCGTAAGGGTACCAGTGTACTCTCACTATATTGAGGTGATCAGATCGTTGTTTCAACACAGAAAGTGCTTGATCTGTAACTGGATTAAACAAACATTTGATTTCTTTCCCCTTGAACTACTGTAGTTTCTTCGGACTTTTCGTAATCAAGCAGTATTTTTTTTTTTTTTTTCTCTTTTGTCGAATGTCAGTAATGTCTTTGATTTTTATTAGATTTATTAGATTTTGGAGTTGAATGTTCTGGACTGGTTTGGATGTTTTTTACTTTATTTCGCTTTAAAATTATATCATTCTTATTGGAAGACCCTTTAGAAACAGTATACTGAAGGACAAATTATCATAAATTCTCAGAATTTAAATGTGAAGAAATAATCAGGAAATAGATAAGAATAGCTGCAGCATATTTTGTGCCTGACAAAACTAATAAATGTCTGCTGCATAGCTTCCAGCTGGTTGTACTCTCCAGCCAAATATAAGCATTCAAGAAAAAGAGAAATAACAAATTATTTTAAATTAGCATGGCTTATTTAACCGTCTTACATAGCTATTATACATGTGTAAACATATTTTAATGGCTGAAATAAGAAACAAAAATTATTTCCGTATTTTGAAAATGTATTGTATAATTAATAGCCTCAAATTACTCATTTGGCCACATGTCTTTTGAGTTATTTTCAACTGTCTAAACACAGCGGACACGTCATGGACATGGCTGGTGTTTGGCTTCAAAGCTGAGTTATGTACATGTCGTCAGCTGCGATATTCAATCAGAAGTTGAGATGCAGTTTCAAATTTTGAGCTCTTTATACGCAGTTGCCGTACTTTAATTAGTGTGTAATTAAAAAAAACTCTCACTGTGTAAGTAACTAGCTCATGTAAAAGCTAACTTGGAGAAATAAAACTATAAAGATAAAATTAAATTTAAAAAAGTAATATCGTCTTCAAAGAAATAAATAAATTCACGTATTTCAATGTTCGCATATTGTACTCCATGTTTGGACCATGTCAGCTACTCAGATCTTGGTTTCGTAAGTGTGCTTAACGACAGAGTACAGTATTTTAATATTTTATCTATTGGAGAGCTACGAAAATTTTAACAAAGGGCTTGCATAATATTTATGAGAAGAAAATAAAAAATTATAAATAAATGTATTACTCATAACAGAAAAGACAAATAACTGTGTATAAAAAGAAAGTATTTAAGAATAAAATATTCTTCAAAATTAATTCTTCAGAATTATTCAAAAGTCAGTCACAAAATATCACATAAATTAAATAAAGAGTAAATTTGATTATGCGTCATAATGTTGCCAAAAGCTTTTATTTTCTTCATTCATTTCAATTTATCATTCAGAAGGTTCTCAAACCGAGGCATGATTTTTTTAAATAATTTTTACATAAGGTTTTGGATTAAATTGTGTTAAAGATTGTGCAGTCAAAGAAATGTTGCTGAATCTAAATTATGATGTACAGTCAAAAAAAAAAAAAAAAAAAAAACGATCTTGTAACTACTACATTTTGATGAAAATTAAACAACAGGACTTCAGTTCCTCATATTGATTTTAAATGCTTTAAAAACCCACAACAAATTACTGAAAATAGACGGCATTTTTTAGCATCTAATCTAAATTTTATGCTCTCTACTAAGCGCTTAACTGAACTGAAACGGAACTAGTTTAATGATATAAATGGCGTTAAACACCTGGCTGTCTGTGCACGAGGTCCTACCCCAAATTGAACGCAACAAGACTTGCAAATGAACAGATCCAACTGGACCATTGAATAGCTTACATAAAATGGAAGCAATGAGTTTAGAATGTCAAGATACTGCACAAAGACCAAAACAATTTTTTTCAAAAGAAGCTGTCGAGCTGGTGAGTAGTGATGAACAAATGGTAAAAAGCAGAAATATAAAATGTTACAAAGAATATCTGTGCAATGCAATTAAATGGTGCCTGCAGGAAATTAAAATGTTATAGAATACAAAATAAGAATGAAAATATGGAACATGAACAGGTAAATTAAACAATTGTTTGGAGATTAAGAATAGCATTCAGCCTCTTGCTGTTTACATATTCGTTGTACCCATAGCTACAAATTCTAACTTCTGAGTTATTAATTTTTCTTTGGCTATCATGAAAATTCATGGCTATGTGATAGCAGTATGTCCTTAACTGGACCATTTTTAATTCATCTTGAATTCTTTTGTTGCAAACGTACAAAGGAGAATTTGCAATTTCGCTAATATTTTTCTTTTGAGTGAACATGACAGAGACAGTTTTATCGATGCTGATCATTTTTTTCTAGCTTTCTAGCCATGTCTCAAGAGCACATCTTTCTTTGAATTAAAGTATTTAAAGCTGTAGAGCGAATAAGTGAACAAATGGTGAAAAGTATTGAGTATTTGCAGGAGCAAAAAACATGAAAAATGACCAAAGCTCTTGGCGGGATATGAACTCTTAATCTCCCGTTCGCTAGCAGGACTTGCTACCAGTTGTAGCACGAAAGCATACAACGGGACCAGACGAGATTCTAATTCTCGAGAAGAGAAAGACCAAGTCGAAGTAATAATTATTCACACGCAAAATGTATGCTTTTTTTAAGGGGGGATAGATAAACAAGCAAGCAAAAGGAAAACAAGAAGCTGAAATTAGAGACAAATTTAAAAAAGGGTTCGCTCGAACCCTCTATGTTTCGTCACTGATTTTATCCCTGCCGCTTCGCAAAAATGTTGTTGCTTGGAAAAAGAAATGTTGTTGCTTCGGCTGGCGTTCCTCCATAAATCGGTGCCCTAAGCGGTTGCCTACGTCTCCTATGCTTGAAGCCCTCAAAGATCGATAGTCAAAGCAAAGAGTGTAATGGGCAAATTATTAAAGGTGTGAGTTTGGGAACATTTTATTTAAAAGCTTATAAGGTATTTCTCCCGCCTACTTAGCGAGCCTTCGTGGTGTAGTGGTCTGCATGCTCAGCGTGTAATTGAGAAGTCCGCGGTTCGATTCCCGACGAAGGCGTTGCATATGTTTCATCTCGCCTGCTTCCCAAACATACCTAATGTCTCTACAGTGGCGCCCAAACTAAAAGGGTGATAGATGATGATGCTCCTCACCCAGGATTTGGCGATTGGGGTCCCCTAAAAACCCCAGTCCCCCTTTAAAAGGGGGAGTACTTAAGGTATTTCTCCCGAGTATATAAGGTCTGCAAGCTCAGCGCGTAATTGAGAGGTCCGCGGTTCGATTCCCGGCGAAGGCGTTGTATATTTTTCATCTTGCCTGCTTCCCAAAAATACCTAATGTCTCTACAAGTTATTTAATTGTCCTTGTACATCATATGCCAAACATGTATAGTCAACTGTAAAAAATAAATAAATAAGTAAAATGTATGTTTTTATTTTAATTTATTTAAAAAGAGCTGCTGAGGCGTTTCTTTGCTAAATACATTATCAAACAGAATCTCCTTGAATCTTCTACGATTATGAATTCCTCATTAAAAATGAAACCTTAAATAACATGGTGTTATAAGAATTAAACTTCTATTACTTAAGCATAATTAGATGATTCGCTTGCAAATCTTAACACTTAAACATTTCTTAAAAGTATGTTCTTCT